TTTTTTTTTTTTTTCTCGCTTTGTTGCTGTCAGTCGTTCCATCTGGAGGGCAGATAGAGGGGGGTCACAACCACAACAGAGATTGAGGGTGTGTGAGATGGCTGAAATCGCTGTGTCTGCCACTTCGCCGTGGTTGTCATTGATGCTGTGCAGGGGATGTCGAAGCCAGCGACGCTGAACCACCTGCAGGAGCAGTTGAAGAAACATTTCACGATCGAGGGGACGCCGGGGAAGCATGTGGGAAAGGGCTCGAAGTACTGGAAGTGCAACTACTGCGACCTGCGGTTGGCCGGGACTGCCACGAGGCTCCGGGATCACTTCTTGGACAGGTGCACCCTTGATAACGTAACTGTCCAGTTGTCAGTGGAGGAGAGGGCGAGGAGGGAAGCGGGAATGTCGGAGGGGAAGTGCATTGCTCGCATGTTGATGCAGATCGAGGCTGGAGGTGCTGGGCCCAGCAACATGCCGACCGCTTCAAGTCATGCACTGGAGTTTCTGAGCTCTCAGGTCGTTGGTGCAGGCAGTACCGGCGAGACGGCCACACCTCAGTCCACTGGGGCCACCGCTCTTGGATCGAAGCCAAGTTCAGGCAGGCCACTGAGGCAGACAGTGATCGAGGAGGCCGACAGCGTGGTCACGATGAATGAGCGTACAAGCCGATTCCTGGACCAGTTTTTAATTTGCACCAACCAGCCGTTCAGCTTGGTGGAGGACGTCTTCTTCCTCGAGTTCCTTGAGGCCGTGAGGACAGCCCATCCCACATGGATGCCTTGCCGAAGGGACGAACAAAGGACAAAGCGCTTGGACGCAGAGTATGCGCGGGTGGGGGCGGAGGTCCGTGCAATGGTAGTGAAATGGAAGAAGACGGGGTGTATGTTGCAGATGGACGGCTGGTCGGACCGCCGCAACAAACCACATTTGAATGTCATGGTGTCCTCGCCTGTCGGTACAGTGTTCTGGAAGTCAGTCTGCATGGAGGGCAAGGAGAAGGATTCGACAGCTTATTTTCGGGTGTTGGACAACGTCATTAAGGAAATTGGAGCGGATGCGGTCGTTGGTGTAGTCATGGACAACGCAAGGGTGTGCGTGAAGGCAGGGAAGATGGTGGAGACTGCGTATCCGACCATCTTCAGCGTCGGTTGTACGGCGCATGCGTTGGACCTTGCGTTGGAGGACATGTACAAGGAAATGCCTTGGATGGCGCAAGTGGTCACTGCTGGCAACAAGGTCGGACGTTTCTTCTCCAATGTGGACTAGGCAAGGGCTTTGTCCCACCATTACTCCCCGAAGACGAAGCTGAAGCGTCCGTTGGCAACCAGATTTGCAACGAACTTTGAGATGCTCCAGTCGCTCAACGAATCGCGGAAACCACTTGGCCGCTGTGTGTGCGACAAGGGTTGGGTGGACAAGATGGTGCGGAATGACCAGTTGGTGGCATTCCACGATGTAACAGCAATCGTCCTTGACACGGGCGACTTCTGGAGGAATTTGCAGAAGGCGCTTGATGTCATGCAACCGGTGGTGGAGCTGCTCCGTTTGGTGGATGGGCAAGGAGCAACCATCTCGAAGGTTTACTTCAAGATGAATCAGGTTGTGCAGAATCTGTGGTCCCTGGAATCCTTATCGGTGGAGGAGCACGAGGCGGTGGCGCGCATCCTCATGGGCCGCTGGGCATTTCTGACAAGCGAGCTACATTGTGCTGCAGCCTTCTTGGACCCTGAGCATCGGATGCACAACGCACAGCGCGATCCGGAGGTTTGTGTCGGGTTCAACATTTGGTTGTATTTTTGGATGCCTCGGGAACGGCGCCAGGAGGTGAGCTCCCAGGTTGATCAATGGGTCAATGCTTTGGGAGGGTTCTCGACGGAGCAAGCTCGAGAACAAGCCTGCGACCAGCCGCCAGCTTTGTGGCGGGAAGCGTTCGGCTTGAAGCACGACCTCCTCGCACCACAAGCAATCAGATTGCTTGGCCAGGCAAGCTCCTCTGCCGCCTGCGAGCGGAATTGGAGCTTGCATGAGCTGATCTATGGATGGAGGCGGACGAAGTTGTTGCCAGAGAGGATGGCGAAACTGGTGTACATCAGTTGGAATGTTCGGCTGCTGAGGAGGAATCAGCGTGGCGAGGGGGATGAGATCCACATCCCATGGGCGGACGACGTCCCAGTGGACAGGGAGATGGAGGAGTGGTATGTGCACTGGTTGGATCGGGTCCATGATGATGTTCATCGCGAGGAGGTTGTGGAGGTGGACTGCGATGATGAGGGAGACGAGATCCCAATGCGGCGGACTTTCATGCAGAATGACGAAGTTGACGACAAGCTGGTCGAGGAGGAGGAGACTCTACTTGTCGGTACAAGGCAGCGCGATTGGCACGAGTGCACGAAGCCTGGGAAGCACCGTGAGCAAGAGTTGCGAAGGAGATCTGGTTGCCAGCTGCCTGTGCCTGGAGAGTTGTACACAGAGGAGGGTTACGCTCTCGCAATGGAAGCGCGACAGGCAGGCA